TCATGAAGATGAGCCCACATTATCTTCTAAAGTGTATTAGTGAAACCACATTAAATCCCCAGGAGATAGTCTTACTCCAAAATTCAAGTGCTCTTAATTCAATTCCGCGGTGAATCAAGCCACGCTGAATTTATGCCGCTTTAATTGCGTGTGAAGGTTTCCCCGCCGCGGTTTAATGGTGGTTAATGAATGCCATTCCCACTCTCTGCTCTCCCTGTGCCCCAGCCGGCTCTGAGAGGGCTCAGGGAGCAGGGGAGGCCCGGGGGATCCCGGGGGCAGGACGGGATGGGTGCGGAGCGGGGCGCCCTGAGCTGGGTTTTCTAACACTGGTGCTGCGTTCAGAGCAAGCCGAGGCAGCCAAATCTCAAATGTGCAATTAGAGGGGAGGGCAGAGGGGGCGAGGAGGGCTGGGTGGGTTCAAAACCCCCAACAAATGGGTGGGGAAAGGCGAGATCCATTAAAGCACATCAGATGCTCCAGCGCTGAGGGCTCAGGAAGTTCCTGTGCTCCAGTGTTGGAGGCTGGCGAGTATCCCGGGGAGGCACCGCCGGTGGGCTCTGCTCCCTGCCAGGGTGTGGGGAGCTCCGGATGAACCAGCACAACCCTCCTGATGCTCTTGTGGGTGCGAGGGGAAAGAAGTGGCTGTCGCTGGCCTGGCCACGTGTGTGATTCCAGCCCTACAGGCTGCCTAACGCCTCGCTCCCTGTTGGGGATGGCGGGTGGGGGTGACCCTGTTAGCTCCAACAAGTGCCACCTCCTCTCCCCTAGACCTGCAGAGGGGGGCAGTTCAGTGAGCCCTACTCAAGGTGTCCATCTGCCCCAGGACCGCTCCAGCTCTGACGTGCTCCGTGCCTGGGGGAGGCTGCAGGGATTTGGGGCAGTGGGCCGTGAGTTGCCGCAGGGGCCGCACGGCTGGGCTGGCTCTGCACAGGAGCGGGGACAGGACAGGCTCGGCCCTGTCGCTGTCCCTCCTGCCCACGGCGCCGAGGGAGGGCGGGCAGCCGCAGCAGCCCTGTCCTTACCCGGCCTGGGGACCAGCAGCGCCATTTGGGGAGCAAACCCGTCATTAGTGGGGACACCGGCCTGGGCTGGGATTTATGGACAGGGAAAGCAGCCCCGTGCTCGCCTGCGCTTCTCCATCACGTCCTGGGGACACGCGGCCATGCACATCGGGGAAGCTGCCCCTTCTTTGGGCTGCAGCTCCAGGCTGCACCTTGGCCACGCTGCCCAGGGCACAGCTCTTGGTGCCCTCTAGGACTCTGTGGCTGCCACTGCCCCCCCAACACCGCCCTGCCTGCACCCCCAGCGCTCCCACTTGGAAGCCCCAGGAGCTCCAGCAGTGGCCGTGGGGGGGAACTTGGGGGCTACAGGCCAGGAGTCCCTCATGGCCACCCTACACCCGCAGTGCCCATGAGCTCCAGCTCTGCTGGCCCTGCCTGCATCGAGCCCTCCCCCGTGCCGGGAGGGGAGGGGCTTTCTCTGCCCTGACTTTAGTGAAGGGGGGCTGCCCTGGGTCTACATTTGATTTAAGGCTCCTGGTGCTCAGTATTTCCAGGTGATTTGTGTTTATTTGTTGTATTCAACCCCCAAATGGAGCTGCCCTGGGGGCAGTGAGTGCTGACAGCTGGAGGGGCAGTGGCACAGCCCAGGCAGCACCCACGGCCACAGGGACCCCCGTGGGACGAGGTGAGGGCTGGGGCAGGGAGTTGGGCAGGGGTTCTCACGAACACACAGGCAGCTGGGCCATGGGGGGTGCCAGGACCCCCACCACCAGCAGGACCCCCACCACGAGCAACTGCACCAGAAAAGAACCAAAATGGCTCTTGGCAGCCAAACCCCAAAGCCAAGGTCCTGCCAGTGCCGGCTCTTGGGGGTCAGGCAGAGACCCCCACCCACCAGGGTGGGGAAGGAACCAGCAGCACACCCCATGGGGGCAAGGGCTGCTATCCTCCCAGTGCCACTGTGTCCCAAAACACCTCGGCCCCAGGGCCAGGCTGCCACCCCTGTGCTGGGCACAGACCAGGAGCACTCACAGACCCTGCTCCCCCCTGAGCTGCCCAAACTGCCAGACCCCCTCAGTGAGGGACACGGTCACTGCCAGCCCCTCACCCTGTCCCCAGGGCACCAGAGGCTCTGGTCAGCACAGGTGTCACAGCACCCACACCAACGAGATCCTGCTCAAAACCACCGCAGTTTAAAGGCTTTTAGGAATAGGGAGTGGGGGTTTGGCTTTGGGGGTTGGACAGGGAGGGCTGGCCCAGACAGGTGGTGTTTTCCTTCCTGGCTTGACCCTTACCCAGGTTTTGTTAAATCCAGTTGAAACAGCAATGAGGCCAGGTAGGGCCAGAGAAATCCCTGTGCTGATCCCCCGCCTCTGCTGGAGTGCTGCTTCCCCCTGGCACCAGGGCTTGGGTTTCCAGCAGAAAAACCCCTTCCCATGCTTGTCCTGGCTGTTACCATCAGATGCATGTATTTTTTTTTAACCTACAAAGCAAAGCCCTGGCATCGCTGGCTGGGAAATGCATTTCAGAGAAAACCAAAAACAACCCCCCCCCCCCAAAAAAAAAAAAAAATCATTTTTAGTGCAAGCAAAACAGGCTGAACCAAAACCCAAAAGAGAAGGACCAAAAAAAATCAATGGTTATAATTAGCCCTGCTACTTAACAGTGACAAGCGACACGCTGTGCACGGCAGCCAGGAATATTTCAGCATGAGGGAGGGCTGGTGGCCCTGAACCAGCTGCAGGGAGGTGCCTGGCTGGGGTCACAGTGGGGACTCTGGTGGCATTTGGGCACCAAATGCAAAGCCCTGCAAGGCTGTGCCAGCCTCGGCCCGGGGCTGGGGGATGGAGGGACCAGCCGGGCTCTTCTGTTAATTTATTTTCCACGCATATTTTCACGCCGGTGCTGCTGCCCCGGAGCCCGGGAGGCGCGGTGGGAGCGGCGGGGAGTGAGATGCCCGCTGTGCCAGAGCTGGAAGGGAACGCGGGGATTACAGCTAATCACCTCCTGGCAGCGCTGGCAGCAGACCTGGAAGGGAGCACAGGGATTACAGCTCCTCTGATCACCTCCCGGCCGCGCTGGCGGCGGGGCGTGCTCGGCTGTCCCCAGGCTGTCCCCAGGCTGTCCCCAGGCTGTCCCCCCAGCCGCCGGAGCTCGGGACAGCCCCGCGCTGGTGCTGCCTCCACCCCGAGTGCTGCTGGGGGGGACGCTGCTGCCCCCAAAACTGCCCGCAAAGAGGGCTGGCAGGAAAGCTGCTGGAAAACCACCCGTAGCAGTGCCAGCACCTGGCTGCCGTCACATTTCAAGGCTGTGGAATTTGTTTAGAGGGTTTCTTTTACATTTTACGGTGTTTCTGCTGCTGTGGGAAGAACGGCTGCAGGGTGGGAGGGAGACACACAGGCCCCCAAACGCCCGCAGTGTTTGATCACCTCAGGCAGAGCCCGAACCCCCCTGCTCCCTGCCCCCAGGACACGGGAGTGGGGGGCTCCCCTCCCCTGGGGAACAGCAGCTGGGGACAGTCCCCATGCAGGGCCCCTGTCCCCTGTGTGGGGCAAGGGAGGCAAAGGCCTGGTGTGAACGGTCCCACAGGGAGCACCAGGAGGGGACAGCAAGGTGGAACTTGAGCTTCTCCTCCCCCCATCCCTCTGCCATCCATCAGTGGCCACCACCAGCCCTCAGGGCCCATTCCTCCTCCGTGCCACCCCAGTGCTGGCCCTGGCACAGCCATGGCCAGGGGACACGTGCCTGTCCCCAGGCACAGGGCAGGAGTGTGAGGCTCCCTGGGCTCACTGCAGTGCCCAACCCTGCACAGTTCTCACAGGGGAATTGTGAGAAGTAGAATTCATCACTCTTTATTAAAATAAAACCCAAACCTTCCCCAAAAAGGGTTCAGACAAGGAGGACTGAAAGACCAGGTTGGATGGGTCTTGGAGCAACCTGGGATAGTGGAAGATGTCCCTTCCCATGGCAAGGGATGGAAAAAGGTCCCTTCCAACCCAAACCACTCTGTGATTCTGTAATGATCCTATGAAATTAAACAGAGAAAATAATGAATAAATTCAGTTTTTATAACTCTCTGCTGCTTGCAGTGAGGTGGCAGCCAGAGGCTTGAACAAGACTTTGGATTCTCCTCACCTGAGGACAGATGATGTGGGGAGACAGAATGAACTCGATGAGGAGAGGGTGGAACATCCCCAGTGGACCATCCAACGTGAGAAGCTTAAGGAGGTTCATGGGGGAAGGGACATGAGTTGAGGAAGGAGAAGCTGCAACTGGAGGGGGTGGGAAACCCTTGGCTGGCCAGTCTCGATCCCTTGGGAGCCATCTCCAAAGACAGGGACAGCACAAGTGGGAAAGCTCAGTGGTCTGCTGGGGGCAGGGTGTGCTTCTGAGCGGGCGAGCCCCGGTGACGGCCGGAGCGGCTCTGGGGCTGCATCACACCAGGACTGACCCCAAACCCTTGGGCTGGGGCTGGCCCTGAGCACAGAGGGGCTGGGTGAGTGCACTGAGGGCTGGTGGGGCTGGGCCTCAGGGGTGGTCATGGCCACAGGACAGTCCTGCTCCAAGCACAGCCTGGATCAGAGCCCTCCAGAGAGCCCCTCCAACCAGGGCTTTATGGAAACAGTGCCCAGCCCTCCTGAACAAGCACTGAGCAATCCCAATCCCAGTGTGCTGTCTGAGGGCCACAGTGCCTCACTCTGGAGCAAACACAGATCACAGACATGGCAGGTCATCACTGGGCACGGACAAAGGCATCTCAGAGCTGTGGGAACACACACTTTGTGCAGCAAAGCTGCCTCACACAGACGGCCCCACATCCCTCAGCCCTTCCCTCCCAAATCCTGCAGAAGGTGCCATGGGAGGGGCAATGTCAGTTGAACCTCCACCTTGTTCCCTCCACAGTATGCACCTCCATTTTTGCAGCGTTACCACATGGAAAATGAGACATGCCACCCCCAGGTGTTTTAATAAGCAAGCTGCTGGCCCAGTGCTGGGATCTCTTGTTGTCCAACAGTTTATTCCCAAGTGCGTTTACACCGGTGCCATCCAAACTCACGCCGTCGCCCTGAATTATCTGGAATTGAACTGAACCTACAGTTTCTTTCACCTTAACTCCTGGATGATGGTGTTTATGGAGCCCAGGAGCTCCCTGAAGTAGCCGTCCTTGTCCCCTTCCCGCTGCTCCTTGGCTGCCAGCTCCTCGTACTCGCTGCGCAGGAGGCCCAGGGTGGTGCCCAGGGCGGGGTCCCCCCGGTAGTGCTCCCTGCAGAAGGCCATCAGCACACCCACCAGCTTGAGGACCTTCTCCCGAGTGTCGTGCTCAGGCATGGCCAGCAGGTTGGGAGCCACCGCGCACCAGTCCTGCTCCAGCACCGCCGGCACCAGCCTCACCTGCCGGTACTGCTCGATCTTCTCTGCCATCTGCTCTCCCTGCTGTGAGCCCTCAAGCAGCATCTGTGGGAAGTGGTGGAGCACAGATTAATATCCCTGTCAGAGAGACGCTGCTCCCAGGAGGTGACACGTGGTGGCAGAGGAGGATGTAACACCTGCCCTGGACAGTGACTTGTCACAGAAGACCAAGGCAAGGTTGTGTCCTGGTTCCCTGCCACAGGGGCTGGTTGCTCACCCTGGAAGGCTCCCAGTGCCTGGGGGTTTGTGTGTCCCGTGGCCCTGAAAGGGGACACAAGGGGCAGGAAGCTCAGCAGACCTGGAAAGTCTCTGGTCTGCTTTGGGCGCCTGCAACACCTAACAAAGATCACCCACCACTTGGGTCTGTGCTGCTCCTCCCACAGACATGGAGCTCTCTGTGTCCTCCAGCCACAGCCAGGCCTTCCCCTCCCAGCCTGGTCCAGAAACACCCCAAAACTGTCAGAGCCTGCTCATGACGATTGACAGGAACGACACACGGGGGACAGTGAGGGACAATGCCAAGGAGACCTCCCCTCTCGTCCCCCAGAGAGCTGCCTGATGGACTGCAGGAAGGATTTGGGGTGGCAAGGACAGAACGGGGCAGAAAAAGGCACTCAGAGCCCCAGTGACTCTTGTTTCAGCACCAAGAGCTGCCAAGGTGGTTTATGATTTCCAAACCAACCCATCTGATGGTCACCCAACCCACCCCAAATCTTCCACCCCCACTGGCACCCCGGGCTGTGCCACCTCCCCCATGAAGCACTGGGATTGATGCAAGGAATTCCCAATCCAAAGAGCAGTGAAAAATCATTGGTTTAACATAAACTTGAGAATCTGCTGGGCTGTGCCCTGCCCCAGCCCCACAGAGCCAGGAACAGATGGGGCTGCTGTGGGGGCAGCCACTAGACAGGCAGAAGGATCAAATGGGAATGGTTTGAGTCAAAATGCCCACGTCCTCTCCTTTCCCTTGGAGCCAACAGGATCATGTTAGAGTCAGCACCTTATAAGATTTCAGACCTGCTAAAATAATTTGCACCTTTAAAAAGTCTCCTGGAAAATAAGTGATTTAACACAGAGATGCTGCTCTGTGGTGCCTGCAACCCAGGTATTAGAGCAGCCATAATCCGCAGGGCAAATTGGCCATAAAGTGAGCCAGAGTGGATTTAATTCCCGTCCTCTGGAGTCAGGGAAACGCACGGACTGAACAACAAGCCATGCCAAGGAAAGATGGGCTTTAAACTGACATTTACAGCAGTAATCTAGGGTGTTTGAAAATAAAGCACTGAACATGGCAGGCTGGGCTGCAGCGAGGGACGTGCAGCAGGGGCACAGTGGTGCCAGCTGGGCCCTCAGCTCGTGGCTGGACACCAGCAGCTGGACACCACAGCCCAGTGCCTGCACTCCCTACTCTGTCCTTGGTGTTGTGTTCCTTAAACACCCTCGGGAGGAAAGGGTGGCAGTGGTTTAAAGAAATGTAAAGGTTCCAGCTTGCTCTGGGCTCTCCCAGCACTCGTGCCCCGCAGTGGAGGGAGGGGACTCAGCCCCACAATGCAGGGTCAGCCCCTCCTCACGCTCGTCCTGTGATGATGCTCAGTGTTAGGTTGGTGAGGGGAGCAGGTGGGGACCCCCGGGGGTCGTGTCCCAGCTCCTCACCTTCTCCATGATGAGGTCGTAGAGCAGCGTCACCACACGGACGTGGAGGGTCTCCATCCCCTTCTGCCGGAAGAGGCTCCTGAGCACCTGGAGGCCGCCCAGCTTGAGGAACTGCTGCTGGGCATAGGGGAAGTGTCTCAGCATGGAGGACAGGGCGAAGAGAGCCTGGTGGAGAGAGAGAGGGCCATCAGCACAGGGGGCATGGCCACTGCATCCGGCGAGGCCTCTCTTCATGGCACCCGTGGGGACAGCAGGAACATCCCAGCCCCCCTGTGCAGAACTCCCTGGAAAACACATTCCAATCTCTCCTTGCCGAGAGGCATCTCCAACGGTCCCCTTTGCTCCTGATCCCAACCCCCCACAGCACCACAAGGCTGCCCAAACTTGGATGACTTGCACCCGAACCCCAGCCTGGGCTGTCACTGTGTTTGGTGGGTCAGTAACTCAGAGGGACCTGTGGCCAGCACTGGACAGACCCAATGCCATCACCTCTCACTGCTCTCCCTCTCAGTCCTTGGTACAGAGCCCAGTTATGGGGTTGGGATGGGGTGAGGGAGGTCCAGTACCACTCAGCAGCCCAATCCCTGAGATAATTTGGATGCCTGGGGTGATGCCCCTGCACCTACATAGTCAGAGGACAAGACCATGATGTTCCCCAGCACCCAGCCCCGACACAGGGCCTGTCAGGGTGCAGCACCACGCGCCAACAGCCAGAGCCCCAGCACCCCCCCGTGCCTGTGGGGCCTCGGGCGGCGCAGGGTTAGTGCCGAGGAGGCAATTAGGGGCCACCCTAATCCCGCTGGATCTCACACTGCCTGGCTTTGACAACCGTGGTGGCAGAGGGGAGGCTGGGCCCGCCCGGGGCAGGGCAGGGGATGCTCATCTGGGCGCGTGCCAGGAGCTGAGCCGGCTCCTCCGCACAGCGGGCTGGGCCCCGCTCCCGGACAGATCCGAGCTGACAGCCATGTCTTCCTTGGTCCCATTTGTTTCTATTTTCCATTTTCCGAGTTGCCGCTGGTGAAGTTGAGATGTTTCTGTCTCCGTTTTTAATCATAGGCCAAAGGACGGGGGAGGGAAGAAATGCACTTTTGGCCTCGCTGCCGTGCACTGCTGAGAGCGCCGGGGCGGAAAATCCACCGGAGCGAGAGCTGGGGGCGGCTGCCCTGTGCAGGAAGGGGCTGGGGCACTGACCTGTCCTTGGGATCCTCGCCTGGAGAGAGGCAGGAGATTGTGCACAGCATGGGAACTGGAAATTAAAGGCCTCTGTCCTCCTGGAAAAGGGGGTTCAACCCTTGCAGGATCTCATAAGGCTGCATGTGGATGTGGATGGTACCGAGCCTATCCCTCTCACTTCTCCAGGGGCTACCAGCGGGATGCACTCAGGCTCAGTGGAAAGAATTATTCTGGACCCGGCCCCCAGGGGTTCAGTCATGCTGGTGAGGGCCCCTGCATGCCCAGCCATCCCTCCCCACCCCAAAGCAAGCTCTGGACTGAGCCAGGAGCACTCCTGGAAGGAGTTTCTGAGCATGGAGAATCCTGTGGTGCACTGTAATGGGATTTCCTCATACCCATGGCCAAATGCAACGGGATTCTCCAACCTCTCCCATGCCTTTTGCTTGCTGGAGAACTCTTCCCAGGGACTAAAGGGGAACAGGTTTTTGGGAGGTTGTTACAGCCCAGGCAGCCCCAGTGGTGGGAGCCATGTTATAGACAAACAGAGGAGCTGATGGTGCCCTTGCCCTGCCGGAGCCCCTCACACAGGAGGGCCCGTGTTAAACAGGGCTGGGCTGAGCAGCCAGGTGGTGTTCCAGGGTGGCATCACACACTAAAGCCAGGGTAATAGGATCTCATGCTCCAGGGAGTACAGCAGCAGGGGGGTGGGAGGGGCAGGGAGCCCCCGGCCCAACAGACAGCACTGCACATTTGGCTGGGGGCTCTCGGCACTGCTCGCTTTGCTCCAGAGCCTCTGCCCAAGGCAGGACATGGGGCTGGCTCCAGCAATCAGCTCCTTCCAAATGTCAGCTCCCATGCTGGGCAGGCTCTGATGGCTCTGCCTGCCATGGGGACCCTCGCATGTCCCCCCGAGGGACTGCGGCACCACGCCCTGTCCCCGTGGGCTGTGCCCACTGTGTGTGCCACGGCTGGCACTGGGGTAGACCCACAGCATCAGGGGGCAGCCAGCACTGCTGGGGTGGGCTGGTACCCAGGGCCACCCTCCTGCACTCCTGGGAGCAAAGCTCACCCAGTGTGGGGAGCAGCGTGAGGTCCCACGCTCTCCAGATGTCAGTGACTTTCTGAGGAGTTCAGCACAAAACCAGCTTTGCCCAGAGGGGCAGCCCCGCTCACTCACCTTCTTCTTGACAGCCAGGGGTTGTTCTGTGGCCAGAATAACCAGGAGCTTCTGCAGTGCACCCCCCTCAATGGCTTCGACCTGGACTTTGGGGTTGCTGCAGAGACAAAAGGCAGGTCACCAACAGAGCGGGGCACGGCAGGGTGGGAGGGAGCCTGCTCTGGGCTGTGCCAGCCACGGTGTGACAGCAGGACCAGGGCAGGGACTGTCCCTGTGCTGGCCCTGCTGAGGCCCCTCCAGGGCTGTGTCCAGGGCTGGGCCCTCCTGGAAGAGACACAGGGAGGGGCTGGAGCGTGGGCAGGGAAGGGAACGGAGCTGGGAAGGGGCTGGAGCAGCAGGAGGGGCTGAGGGAGCTGGGGGGGCTCAGCCTGGAGAAAAGGAGGCTCAGGGGGGACCTTCTGGCTCTGTAATCCCTGACAGGAGGGGGGAGCTGGGGGGGGGTCGGGCTCTGCTCCCAGGGAACAGGGACAGGAGGAGAGGGAACGGCCTCCAGCTGTGCCAGGGGAGGGGCAGGTGGGACATCAGGAGGAATTTTCTCATGGAAAGGGAAAGGCCAAGGCATCCAGGGAAGTGGTGGAATCTCCATCCCTGGAGGTGTCCAAGGAAGGACTGGCCATGGTACTCAGTGCTCTGGGCTGGGGAACAACGTGGCCATCAGGCACAGGCTGGACTTGATGATTTGGGAGGTATTTTCCAACCTCAGTGATTCTGTTCTATTTCTAAAACACAGCAGACATGAATGAGGGTCAATCTACTCTGATCCCAAAACAAATCCCCCAGCTCCCACCATAGTTCATGGTTATGGACAAGGTACCCCTTCTCCACATAACCCCTGCAGGCACCTCAAACACAACACATGACCTAAAATGATGGCAGAGGGGCTGGGGAAGAGCCATCCTGGCCACCCATCACAGCCCCACATCCCACCAGACTTCCCCTGGCAAGGAGCCCTCTCCTGTGATTTCCCTCACAGCCATTTAATCCTCTCACTCCCTATATCATCCACTCCTTAACACCCTTTATATTGCAGTTCTTGCTTCCCCCTCCCCTCACTCGCTGTGAATGTGCTGATTGCAGTGCTCTGGTGCTGCAGCCCCATGTCTCCAGCTCACCAGGAGCAAGGTCCTGTTTGCCCCCACAAATTACACTGATGCCACCACCCACAGTGGTGCACAACTCCCACAGCAAGTGCTTCTCTCTAAGGACTGCAATGGCTAAATCCATCCTTCTGCCTGCAAGGGCAGGCTGGAATCCAGGTCTGGATGTGAGCAGCTGCCCAGGGACAGACAGACAGACAGGCCTTCCCCACTGTCTGCACTGCCCCGGGTACGGCCATGCTGACACAGGGCAAACCCACTTCAGTACATCCTGGAAGGAGGAGGAGAGGTCAGGTGCCACAGGCTCCCTCCTTGGCAGGGCTTTCACAGTCAGAGCACAGCACACTGAGTGTCTCCATCCCTGATCCTGGGTCTCTCAAGCTCTGAGAAACAGCCCCAGCACTTCAGCCTTTGCTCCCCCTGGAGCAGCCACTGTGGCCAGACAAAGGTCACTGATGCTGTGAGACACCCACAGCCCCCACTGCTCCCCGGGAGCTGCTGGAGCAGCCAGTGCCGAGCCCCCTCCATGAACTGAGACAGACAGAGGCAGACAGGGTCATAAACAAACAAAACCAGAGACAAACGGAGCTGGCCAGGGAGCAGTTGGAGTTAAACCCACGGCTCATACAGCAAAGCACCACACTGTCAGCAGTGTGCCCTCCCTGCTCCACCCAGGCTTTGCTTCTTGCACCAGAAGGAGCCATCCGGGGCTCTGAGGCGGCAGATCTGGGGTGGGGGTTCCCAACTGCTACTACCAGGCTGACCTCAGGGCAGGGAAAGGGGGGTTTGTTGAAAGTCACCTTTGATTTCTCCTTCCTCACCCATTTGCTGCAGCAGACATCCAGGCAGAGCCGTGGCACAGGCACCCTGCCGAGAAAGGGCATCTGTGACCCGCACAGACAGGGCAGGAAGGAGAAAGAACAAACCCAGGAGCTCCAGGATCCTCCTGCAGAAGCAATTTTCACAGCATGGTCCTCAGACCCACCCTGTGTGCCAGCCCTGCAGCAGCCCCAGCATCCCTGGGAGCAAACCAGCTTCTGTAGTGCCTGGTCCAGGTGGAATCTAACACACCTACCATGATGTGTTTATCCCCAACCTCTCCTTGCCAGGAGGTGCAGCAGAGTCTCCTCCTGCAGAAACATGATGTTATTTTTCACCCCAATATGCTGTGTAAGGACCCAGTGATGGCATCTCTGATGGCCTAGGCTGGCCTCTGATTTGGGCAGTCAGGAGTCAATGAAGGCAAACGGCCCTAAAACGTTCAGCTGCTCCCAGACCACTCCTGCCCCCAAGGCCATTTTCTCCCAGCTGACAACTGCTGCTCTCATTCCCCTCCAGCCACACCTGCAGGCACAAGGACAACCACAGCTGTCCCCACAGGGACAGCACAGGGACACCCCAGGGACAGTGCTGTGGCTCTGTAGCATCTCATCCACCCCAGGGCAAAGGTGGGATGAGTACACAGGTGGGATGGAGGGCAAACAGCTCCCAGACCACCAGTGTGGGCTGAAGACCCATCCAATACACCCCAGCCAGTGGAAAGGTGCTAAGGTGACCTCACCTCAGAAGAGCCACAGATAAGGAACATCCAGCCTACAGAACTGAACAAATCCTGCACCTCCTTTGTTGCAGATGGATGTATCAGACATGTCCAGGGCCTGTGATCCTCTGGGAGCCTGGAGATGCAGCACCCAGAAGGCAGCAAGGAACCACAGCAATGACAAGTGACATCTGTCCCGTGGTCACTGGAGTGCCCTGGGCAGGGCACAGCCAGTGCTGGGATGGCCAAGCACAGCACAAAACCTCCTCCTGCAGAGGCTGAGCAACACAACAGAACTGTGGGGCTGTGGCCAGAGCCCTGGGCATCTCCAGAGCCCACCCAGCCACTGCAGGAGCCACACAGACACAGCCCTCCTGCTGGGACAAGCTCTGCTGCTGATCAGGCAGGAGCAGGAAAAAGAGGATTTTCTAGCAGTGCCAGTTTTGGTCTCTGCCTTTGTCGGGGTCGTGCTTGGTTCTATTTCAAGTTCATCTGGGAGAAGTCACAGCACAGGCTGGGCTTTGCCCAGCACACCATCAGCCACACCACCAGCAGGGTTTTCAGTGCAGTGGGAATGAGGGGTGAAGAAATCCCAGATGCAGTTCCAGACCCCAGGGAGGAGCTGGCAACTCCAACCAATTGGAAAATGCAACTCCTGGTCCAAAAGCCTGACCAAATGTCACATGCAAGTCACTCTGGGTGATGGAGACCAGAGCAAGTGCAGAACAAGCTTGCAGGCAGGTACTTCGTGAGTGTAAGTGCACTGAAGGACAATCTCCTCAGCTGGAGACCTCTTAGTGCCATTCAAGGAAAATGGTAGGTTTGGGATATCCAAGCTCTTTTGTCACATCTCTCTAAAATAAATAATAAGAACCCTTACAGCAAGGGACACAACTGAAATATTGGTATGCCTTTAATGCTTGGCTGGTCACCTGGAGGATTTGATCTAATTAAAATCTCTGAACCATGGAGCTTTTGGCAAGGAACAACTCTGGAGGTTAGGGAGCCTTCCTGGCTGGTAGGTGTGCTGCTCTCGCTTCTCAATGCTCCTGTTGTTCAGCGTCTCGGCTATCAATAGTCTTCAAGCTAACAAAAAAGCCCCTTTGAAGGTTTGGAAAACTCAGCCCAGATCTGTACAAATTACACTGTCAAGCCCAGGGAAAAGCAGCCTGAACAAAATAAACACAGTGAGACAGACTGTGGAGTGCTCTCATGGGAAATTCAACCTGTTAATCTGCTAATGGATATGGGATGGTGGCACCTGCAACAGAATTTGTTGAAACGGAATTCTGAGGCTGAGACAGAGGTGCAATACAGCCTGCAATGATATCCCATGCTGCTGCAGTGATGGCACAGACTTGGATGTGCTCAGAGATTAAGCACTCTCATCCTGGGTGAGGAACAGCCACGAGGCTACAGGGACTCGACACAAGTGCTGTGCTCGGGTTCAAACAGCTTCCCAAGAGACCTTGTGTGCTAAACAGCCCCAGTTTGCCCTGGGAGGATCCCCCCCAGCTATGGGGTCACACCACACTCCCTCCAGATGTGGCCCTCACTGCACATCTGAAGTCCTTGGGGCTTCCAGGCACGCTCCACGCCCTCGTCCACCACAACCATCTCCCTCAGTCTGCGGCTGAAGAGCAGCAAACAAGGCTGAGTCAGGCTCATGGGGCTGGGCAAGAAACTGCCCAGGCACTGGGGCAGGCTGGGCTTAACAGGCACACTGCTGGTGCTCACGCTGGCCAGGGTGTGTGGAGCAGGGGTGAAGAGCTTGGGAAGACCAGCAGTAATCTCTGCTGCCCACAGCTGACCTCACCATCATCCCTGAGCAGCTCCTGGGGAACCTCTGCCCCTTGAGGGGTGGCCTCTGTTCCGTGGTGGAAGCTCCTGAACTCTGTGGGACATGTGCCGTCCCTCCCAGACTGGGAGAGAAGCAGAGGCCACCAGACCTTCTCAACATGGACCCTGGAGACGGATACCCCCTTTCCCAGGGTGCAGCCTGGCTCCTGGGGTGCTGACTTTGCAAACACAAATTTAAAGTGCCATTTCATCAGCCCAGCACTTCCCTCTTGGTGGCTGGGGAAGGTGACCTTCGGTTTTCTGCCAGTTCACATCTCCCTGAGTCGGAGTCAGAACATCCCAAGAGGGGCTGGACATTACTGCAGTCACAGCTGGTTTGCCAGAGCACCAGGAGCCTCAACAGGACACGGAGAGGGAAGCAAAGGTAATGAGATGCAGTGCTGGTGGTCTGGGACCAGCTCTGGGAGCAAAACTGAAATTAAGTTGATGCAGAGCCTGGCTGGGAGCAGGTCCTGCCATGGGTGGGGGGCGAAGGCAGAGATGGATCCAGCACCTTCCCCAAGCTGCCAGGCTGGGACTTTTGTGCCCTTCTTCCTTTTTTCTTCCATTAAAGCTCTTTGTGGAAGCAGCAAGACCTCAGGATGTGGATGACTGGACAGA